ATTGCTTTCTTTCATAGTATTCATTTCTAATAAATGAACTCGGAGAGGAAAAAGCTAAATTCTCTTCGAGATGGATTGGCTCTAAGAGGGTGGTAGACTATTTCCATAGTAACATCTTCTTAAAACAACTGCCTACCATTCCAGTTATTAATCCTATTAGTGAGAGTTAGAATGAAGCCAGGCATCTTATGATCAGCCTGTAATTTCTTTGTTTGTAATAATATCCAAATCTGCTATTTTGCTTGGAAACATGGTAATGCAGCAGCTACTTGAGTTAGATGCAAAGAAGTCTAATTTCAGTTCCTTGTTCTATAGGCCAACCCCACAATTTCTCTTACAGCCCCATTGTACTAATGTAATTTCCACCCACTTACGGTCTCCATACTTCAGCAGAGATAAGTGCAGCCATAGAACCAGGTTCCCGCTGCCTCAGGTTCCCATCTATGAACCGGGAATAATAATACTATTTTTCGCCTAATTGTTGACTGTCTTCTCTCTGTCTGCCCCAACCATGTATTGGTATAGTGTTCAAATACAGTGATACAATGGGCCTCCAAGCTTGGGTGGGCTTCTTTGCTTCTGCAAAGAAAAATTATGCTTAACATCAGGCTTTGCCATGTCCAATGCATAGGAGATTTAGTTCTTCAGATTTGTCCAAGATGAATAACCTGTGCCCATGTGAGTTGTCATATGATGGGCGTGCATCTGGAGTCATTCAGAAACAAGGAACCTGTAGTGTTTTTAATAGCCTGCTAGGGCTACTTGCTTTAAGAACATACACTTTAAATGGAGATAAATCGTTTGACTTTTATTCCATTTGCACATGACTCCAGTAGGAGTATATTGGTTTAAGTCAGGGAAATCAGGTCCTTATTTTTTACTTGCTATTTAATTTGTGTGTGGTTTTAAGCTGAAGACACTATAGAAGATGTAAGCCATGATTTCATACTGTGCCTTTCTTGATTTCTTTGCATGCTACTCTCGGTCACTTATTGTTGGAAGTATTTCAAATGGAGCTGCCAAAAGTTTGGATTGCCATGACATTTCGCTTTCGCTGAGTCTTTTGTCTGATACTAAGCAGGATAGAAATGTAGATGCGTGAGCCAATTTCTGTTTTGTTCTGGCATCCTGGTCAACACAGCAAGGTCAGCTGTCGGCTTCCTAGACCGTAGCATCTGGTTTCTCAGGTATGGACATATAGAAAGTTGAAAGAGT